ATCTCTTAGAAACTAATATCCATTCCGCCTGTGCAGAATAGACTCTTCTTACTAATCTGCCCTTCCCAAGACGTCTCTCTCATCTCCTAGGGAATCGGGCCTGGAAGATCTTAGCTGTTAGGGTTAATTAAATTAGCCTTAACACCCCTCGATAACTGGTGACTCCCCGACGTGTCTAACACTACTCCATAAGTCTGCTAATGCACTTAGCCGAGTGTTGGATTAGCATAGTGTGCTTCGCGTTAGCTGAGGAAGAGCTAAACGACGTGGATGAGTTAATATTCAACTACATATGGGTCGATCAATAATCCTTCTTTGGGAGACGATCTAATATGTAGATCGTTGGCTTTTATTACCATAGCGCGCCTACTTACCGGATTTAAGACGACGCGTAATATTAGGATTACACTTCTCGGTTAAGGCGTAGTTTAATATTAAGGTAAGGGTTAGGCGCAACAATGGGTTTAGATAAAGATTTGGGATTGGTGCTAGGGTCAAGGTTACTGCACCTTTTGCCCAATCCAACCGTGTTTAATCAATGACCTCAGATTTTCTGTTTTCCGCCCGTTTACACGCCCCTACTTTGCTCTTCTGTTTCAGTTTCTCGTTAACATGATAAAACAAGCATATGCTTGAAAGGCGAACATTCCCAATGCCTTCCGCTGACTTTGTCAATTACTTCGCCATCTGATCTACTTAAAAGACTAATATTATCAACTTACCGGTTTTACAGGCGCTTCTGTGCTCCGTTTTCTCAATGGACTTACATATCATGTCTTTGTCTTTCTTTAGATAAACGGTTCTGGTTACTTCTGGTATAGTTTCGAAATTTAAAATCGATTCACTTATGAGGCCTCATCTACACTAGGTTCAGAATAGATTAAACCGATAAGTAGAGGACCTGTTTGCCCGCATATCTGCTGGCTATCAGTTGCGGTCATGAGTTGGTGAACAATGAAACGTCTCCCAGTAAAGTAAACAGACTTGTATCTGAGGACTAAGCAGTTGTGGTCCAGCAGAGACTGTATCATAGGGGGTTGCGTGAGTTAAACCCAGGCAACTGCGAGAGTAGACTTTCGATGCGTCTACCTCAGTCTCCCTCCCAACTGCGCCCGGTGTCAACACAGAGTCAAGAAGACCGGAGAGGGGCCAAACTTCGACTCGTACACACAGACACGTGCGTCCAGATAGTCGTGGACAGCTTGAACATACCACTCCCTCGGCCAACACAGTGTGGACCACTAAGCCCGACACCCCCTCGGGAAATGCAACTCACAAATTGGACACAACTTGAACCTAGTTCTCAAACCTATAAAAACAGAAGCCATCACGGCCTCAGTCTTTTTCAGACATGATTTAACACACCCAACCCTAGCTTCCACTTCGCTAGTGACCACTGCCATCTGAGACCGCAACTGGGATTTCTATGCACAATAAATCTCTCTCTCTCACAGGTGCTTTCTGCCTTTTTACCTACTATTGGGGATTTGGCCTGGAGCTTGTAGTGCTCCAAGTACAACTGTAGTGGTCACGTCTGTTCGACGCCCTCCTAACTCTTGACGCCACAGACGAGGTCACTCAGAGCATAGGAACTCGCGCGAAAGCAGTTTTCCTGCGTGCCTCAGGCTTATGCGCAAACGGACGCGCGCCAGCCTAGCCAGCCTTCGCCCCTCTCAAGGTCGCGCCACTACCTCTAGTCTGGACATTAGCCACGTGATTGGCTACTGCAACAAAGCATGCGCCGGTCATCTGGCTATTCCCGACGCTGTCATCACTCCGGAATTGATGCATTGGCAGCCGGACTGCGGTCATCCGAGAGTCAAAACTCTTTCCATCTATTCTCTTATCCTTCTGCAAAATACCCTATTCCTCACAATCTGGCTTTCCCACCGCCTTCTCTCCTCACCTAAAGGAACCATGGGCCTGGAAGATCTTAGCGGTTAGGGCTAACTTTCTTGGCCTTAACTCCTGTCGATATAACCACAACCTAGACGCTACAGGGATGCAGCAGATATATAAATGAAAATCGTACTGATGATGACAACAACCCCCACTTGGTGCGTTGGCATTAAATAAATCAAGGTGGTTGGCCTGTGTAGTGGCACGTTAACCATCCTAGTTGCTCACCTGCTGGTATTGATTGTAAAAAGCTTGTAGCCTGAGACGTAAGCTGCCAGTCTGGTGACTGACTGCTTTCCCGAACCGCCGACTCCAACAAGAAGAACACTACCCCGATCGTTGCGAGTGGCCCGACAAACACGAACGATGTGTCCAATGGCCTTGGTATAGAAAACATAGCTCAGTGGACACCCACGCGATTCCTCGTTCATTTGCGTCAGAAAGCCATCCAGACGGGCTTTCAACGTTGGAAGTTCGAATACCTATACAAAATGAGATATTAACATTAAAACACAAGCTCCCACGATGATTTCAGTGACAATATTGGTAGTGGTAGTATTAGTGGTCGTAGCAGTAGTTGTTGTAGTATTAGATGTAGTAATATTATTATTAGTAGTAGTAATATTAGTATTAGAAGTAGAAGTAGTAGTGGTAGTAGTCGTAGTATTAGTAGTAGTAGTATTAGTATTAGCAGTGTTAGTAGTAATAGTAGTATAAGTAATATTAGTAGAAGTAGCATAAGAAGTAATAATATTAGTAGTAGTAGTGGTAGTAAAAGTAGTATTAGTATTAGTGGTCTTGGTAGTAGTAATATTAGTATTAGTATAAATAGTAGTAATAGTAGTAGCAGTAGAAGTGGTAGTGGTATAAGTAGTAGTAGTAATATTAATATTAGTCGTAGTAGTGGTAGTAGTAGTAGTTGTATTAGTAGAAGTAGTAGTAGTGGTAGTAATAGTGGTATTAGTAGTAGTAGTAGTAGTAGTAGTATTAATAGTAGTGATAGTAGATGTGGTGGTATTAGTAGTATTATTAGTAATACTATTAGTAGTAGTGGTGGTATTAGTAGTAGTAGTAGTAGTAGTAGTAGTAGTAGTAGTAGTAGTAG